TCCAAGGTTTGTCACTTTATCACTTTTTAATACAGTAGGGTCGTCGGAGGGTAGCGCGGTGTGGACTTCAGTGCAGTTGTGGCACAGGCACATACTGGGAGGGAGGGGCGGAGCCAAGATGAAGGAGGAGCTGAGAGAACTGCACACTTGATTTCTCTCTTCTGAGTGGATTTGTTTACATGTGGAAAACTCTGCATCGTTTCCCCACTGAAGTAATTCAGTTTTATTACTGTTGAGCTATTTTCAAGTGGAATTGTTTCAATGTCACTGTTATTTTTAATACAGCTAACTGGCTTTTTTTAATTTTTAACTTTTCACTGTAATGAGATGATAACGATGATCTGATAACTTCATTGTTTTGCTGACTCATTTCTCTTCCCGTCTTGCGATCCTGTTTTTGTTTTTTTTCCCCCCACTTTATTTCCTCGTCAGTCAAAAGTTTTAGCTCTCGTGACCAACTCTTCCTTATCTTGCTCACTACACTCTGAAGAATGGAGTGCTTGCACATCAGCTACATTGCTCTCGAGTCAGACTTGTCACTGGATCAAACAGTAGTGAGTTCCTAACTCATTTCATTTGGATGTGTGAAGTTATTAACACTGGATCTGCCACAACCAGGATGTTACTAAGAGGAGCGTCTACCTTGGACCGGGGTCCCAGTCTGTGGGGCCGACTGGGGTCCTGCTGTTCTGGTGGATGTTCTGCAGCAGAAGAACGATAAACTGAATTAACATACTTGAAGAGCAGTTGAAGTGCTCAAAGACTCAGTGCTTCCGTACTGTTTCTGTTAGTGACAACGTAATAGTAATACTTTTTAGTTGTTTTTTTTTTAAATAAATAAATAAATTTGCTGTTTTAAAAAGTGAATTTGTGTTTTTGCAATATGAGAAAACAGTATACTTAATTTTTTTTTAGCAGTGTGTAAGAACATGTACAAAAATGTTAAATTTGGCACGTGTTAAAGTAGCTGCTAACATCACACACAGTTGACATGGCAACTATTAAGGTTATAAAATAAATAGAAGTAATGTTTGTGTGACCTCAATTGACATGTTAAAGTCATTCATAAAATACTTTAAGCCACTTTTTTGGCACAGGAGACAAAAATAACCAGACTAAAGTGATCTACCTACACTGAAAACATGAAATATATATGTGTGTGTATATATATATATATATATATACATATACACTGTATACTGTATATATACACACACTCAAGGAAAACATACTTTATATAAATATTATGTTGATAACTAATTAAATGCATGCGTCTTTTTTTACAGATTATACAAATTCTTCAATTCTTACAATATATGGTCACTACTACACACTTTAGAATTATATATACATATATAATTTTAATTACTCATGATCTACCAGCATTCCCTGTGATATACTGGTAGATCCCGATCTACTTATTGGGCACCCCTGCTTTAAGCATGTTCTGCACCATCTATTGGTGGAATGTTGGTATTGCAGGGAAAAGTCAGAAGTATCAATAAATTAATACACAGTAATTTGGACAAGTTTGGCGGGCCGGATTAAAATGCCAAACGGGCCGCAGTTTGACCACAACTGTTCTAACCTATACTGCGCCACCTATCTGTGCTGCCGAGTTAACAGGTTCACCCGCCTGAGGATATGTCCCAGACACGGAGGTAAAGCCTACAGTCAGCATTTTAACTAATCGCCAGATTTGTATCCGTTACTGGTAAAACACATTCAAGGCCACGTTAATGAGAAAACTACGTAAGTACAAAAGTTAAGATTTTATTGAAATACAAAACATAAAATTCAGTTAGGTTTACAGTTTCACTCTGCCGCCTTTTTGCCACGTTTCCCCGTGGCTTTAACAGCTGGAGCCTCGGCGGCCTTGCTCTTGGGCACCTTTTTAGGTTTCGTCTCCTTAGGCACTTTTTCTGTCTTTGCTTCTTTAGTTGTCTTTGTGGCCTTGGTATTTGTCGCATCAGTCGCGCCTTTGTCGTCGTCCTCTGCCGCCTTTTTAGCTTTGGGTTTCTTTACTGGAGCCACCTTCCCTGCTGCGGCCTCTTCCGTTTTTTTGGACTTTTTAGGAGACTTTGAGTCCTTGGAATAAGAAAGTCCAAGTAGTATTTAATATTGTCTCGGGGTTTAGTTTTTATCGTTTTTTTTTTTTTAAACTAGAAAATGTAACGTATATTTTTTCCCGTAGTTTAAATCTTTACCTGCTTTACCTAAAATGAATACAAGCACGCAAACGTCACAATTTTGACATCGTGAACATTCAGTTAAAAAAAACAAAACAAAAACATCTCACCTCTTGTGACTTGGCGCTGCTCTTGGGCTTTTTAGCATCTGAACAAATTTAAATGGATGAAGGAAAAGATGCAAAAATTTACTTTTCAAAATGAAGTACAATTAATGGGTAGTTTATTACTTTTCAAAATGAAGTACAATTAATGGCTAGTTTATACTTAATTTTCACGTTCACTTCCCATGAGCTAATACATATTTCTGATGTGTCCTACAGTTACAGATGGAACTTGAACACATCTTTACCTGCTTTAGGTCGCTTCTTGTCGCCATCTTTGCCGCCATTTGCGTCGCCATCTTTGCCTCCATCTTTGTCGCCATCTTTGGATTTCGATTTTGGAGCCTTCTGCACATTAGGATCCTCGTTCTCACCTTTTGCCATCTTTTGTTTGAGTTTCGGTTCAAGCTACAGAAAGAAAAGAAAAAAACTCACCAGGATATTTTTCCTTTACTTTTATCCGGCGAAGCAGACTTGTATCCTTACCCGGAACCGCCCTGTGGTCCCTGTGACACTGACAGAACGTATAAACGTACCGGCTTCGATCCCCTTTTTCAAAGCCTTACGGACCAACCCGTTCACCCTGATAGAATCCACAGAGGGGTATTTCTGTTTGATGTAGTTCTGTATGGCTACGTACGAAACCCCTTTGCGCGAGTCCAGCGCTTTCAACGCCTCTTTGACCATGATGACTGTGGGTGGATGAGTTGGAACTTTACGCGGCGCCGCAGCATCTACACAGCAAACGTTAACGTCAGTGCATTCGTGTAAACGGATTGAACATAAACCCAAAAACGAAGTAAACACACAGGTTTGTTCGCCTTTTAGTTCCCACCTGACGTTTCTGTAGAATTCTCCTTCTCCGGACTGTCGCTGCCGGAGGACTCAGCAGGAGACTCGACCAGTGGCGCAGTTTCCAGTGCTACTGCGGCGGCGGCCTTTTTAGGACCCATTATTCATACAATATTAAAAATTAATAATATAACAAGCAAATTCCCACCTTCTCGGGAGTGTTAAAAAAAACGCGCTACCAGCTCTGTTTTCGGTTTTTATGCTGCTGTTTCCGGTCAAACCAAAGCAGGTGGGGTTCATCAGGTCAGGTGCAGTTAATCACGGTTGATTACTGAACAGCGTCAGCCTCAGGTGGTCTGTTTGTCACTGTTCTGCCTTTACCAGAGTTGACTCTCGTTAAAAAAAAACCCAAATAAAAAACCAAATAAAGCCATGTTCTACATGAACAGTAAAATGACGTCATGACCTTGACCCAGTAATATCACAGACTATACATAACTGGACAAAGTTATGCTATGCAAATCTACTTTAAATGAACAATAAAGAACACATTAAAAAAATATTCCGTCATTATTCTTTATCGTTAGACAGAATGATGACTCTTTCTCGAGGCCACTTTTATGTGGACATGAGCTGAAACTGCTCGGTGGTTCTGTGAACAGGATGTAGTTTGTGAATTTGAACCTTCAGTTCTTCACGTGGTTTTACTGCTTCTGAAAAAAATTACATATAAGGTCGACAAGACCAACGGCACAGACCGTCTCTGTGCACAGACACGTCATGGCAGGACGTCTGTTGTTTCTCTTTCTTATGTGTGAGTTCAACCGGTGCTGAATTCTATTCACTTGATGATTGATTATTTGATTTGATGATTGATTATTACATTGAAACCTTTTGAACTCTGTTCTTTTTTCTAGGTTCATCACAAAGGATGGAAATTCAAGGTGATTTTTTAAAAAAAAATTGTTTTTCAGATAAAATTACATTCATTTTTTAAAACTTTTTTCTCTGTTCCCTTTCAGCTTTGCTCTCACCTAAGCTGACAGTGACCAAGCCGAATATCACTGAGACAGAAACAGACACACTGGAGTGTCGGCCTGTCGACATGGTCACCGCTTCTCGGTGTTATTTCTACACCCTGACAAAAGAAGAAACTAAAGTCTTTTCCTGTTTGAAGTTGGTGACAGGGACAGAGCTGCTGTTGATGTCAGGACAGACATCACCTGCTGAGGTTCAACTCCGGTGTTTTTACACCGTCAACTTAAATGGTATAAATCCGTCTCCTCACAGCAACACGGTGTCTGTCATCGTAAACGGTGAGTTTATATGGAGTCACCATCATCACACATCACTTCCTGTTACTTTTTGTGCAGTAATTTCAAACTTTATTATCATGAAGGAAATAAAAAGTTGGACGACATGGAAACCTCAAGGATTCCGTGGACACCAGGTAAAAAAGTCCGAACATTCCAGGGGAAACTCAGACGTTGACATGACGGCGGCCGTAGTGTTTTTTCCTCTAACATTTTTATTTGTATTTTCACAGCTCCAACTCCTGTCAGTCGTCTTTCTTCAACTCTGAGAACGACCATAAACGGTAACAAACGTCTCTCCAGATTGAACTTTTCTACAGAAGGAAAATCGTTAGAATCGAACTGTGTGTTAATATTTGAACAGATGAAACAGACGGTGGAACTTTTACTTCAACTCACATCACCGCTGTAACAGGTAAGAGAAATAATCTAGTGTTGTCTTTTGTTAAAAATATAATATAATAATCTTAATGTTTTTGACATCAAGTGAAAAATGTGATTTTCTTTTTAGAATTTTTCATAAAACTCATTAAACTTTTCAGCAAAGTCTTTGAACTTTATCTTAAATCTTGCCATTCCAACAGAAAAATTCCAGTGAGAAAAAAAGGACAACATTTTGACAATATTTTTCAGAATTACAAACAAAAAGAGAAAAAAATATTTTGAGATTATAGTGGAAAAAAGTCACATTCCTAATTTTATTCTGAAAAATCTAAAACACGCTGAGGAAGACATTTTTAATTTTAAATAGATTCGTTTTTAAATAGACAAAATTAAATATAAAAAATATATATAATATATATGTACACTATATATATGTGCTTAATATTATTGATATCATAACGCTGACAAATAATTGAAAGAGAAAAAAAATTGCATTGGGATTTCTAAGGCTGTCAGTCAAAGATGAATCTCTCAGTTTGACTTCATGTTTTATTTCTTATCATTGGATTGATTATTGATTATAGATTAGTAATTATTGATTGAATGTGGAATAGAAGAATAATAAAATCGTGACGATTTCAAAATGTCTATTTTCATCCTATTTCACAGCTGTTACTGTTGGTAGAACTCATACGTCAACTGAAGGTAATAGAAACTGCAGTTCATCCAAGAGTTACTTTTTAAAAACTCTGTGACTAATATTAACTCTTTATTTTCTCCATGTCTCAGCTCCGACCGTGGAACAACCTCACACAGTCACAGGTAATAACATCAGACCCGTACATTCAGCTGAATGACTGTCATATAGTATCAGTTACTATTAGATACTATTGGAGGATTGATTTTTTTCCCCCAAAACTATTGTTAGGTCACATCACGTACATATCCCCTGTGGTGGAATTAACACATGCCATTTTTCCCCCAAAACTATTGTTAGGTCACATGGCGTGACACATACACCTACTTTTATCGCGATGCCCCA